GCTCTACTGAATAACTTCTATCCCTGGACCTCTCCACGGGCCTGCCCTTGCACTCCGGATTGGTGACAACGTCATCCACAAGACAGGTCATATGGTTCTTTGAAACAAGGGATCCCGCTGTATTCCTGGGAAGGCGTACGCCCCACATCCCCCACTTTGAGAGATACCTTTGGAACGGTGTTTGCGTGTGTGTGTAGAAGTAAAGGTCATAAAAACAAAGCACGTAAAGGGCTTTCCACTTAGTGATGGGCCCGGGCCTGGGCTGGCCTGAGGGCTCAGCCATAACCCTTGGCTCCTGCCGTTTTCTCCCTGAGGAGGTGGCCAGGGCAGTTTCTCTGGTCTTCCAAGGCATCTGGGCTCTGTCGGCTTGCTGTTTTTGTGAGTGGCCTGTCCTGAGCCAGGAGCAACTGCCTTCTGTCCTGGGCCCAGACCTGTTTCCAGGTACCCACCCAGCACGCTCAGCCTTTCATGCACACAAGCGAGGTGTCTGAGCAGTCACACCATGGAGAAGAAAGACTTCAGTGGCCACCTCCCAGATGGGTCATGCTTTGTTATTAAGTGTCAAAGTTTTATGACAACAATTATGAAAAAAGACTTTCACTGTTAATTCTTCTTAGAATTCTTCCTGTTTTGGCTTACTTTATTCATCCTATTTAACAATCCTTTCTTTTTGCTGGTAAGCTGGAAAGACACAGTAAGAAACGTTTCTGACCTTCTTCTTTGGAACCACAAGACAATGGACTCAATGATTTAGTTGAACCCCATTTATTAGGTGTCATATTATTGTAATGCCTGATGGTCGGGACCCACAAAATAGGTTTTTATATTCATGGATCAGATGGAGGGGACAGAGCCAAGGAGTCTCTAAGTTCTAGAGAAAAAGTAAATGCAAATGACATTCCCACTAGCTTTGCCCAAAAGTCACTCTACTTCAGCATCTTCGACATTTTAATTAGGTAGCAGATGCGAGCAAATGAAATACAAAAAATACAAACATATATATGTACATATATAAGTGTGTATATATGTGAATACTCTGCCAACCAACCCTATAAAGCATAGCCTACTCCCAAACACCCCGAGCTTTTAAGAGCAAACATTTGAGGGAATATTAGCTTTTCTCTAAGACAGGTATTGCTTCCTTTACCTAGTATCAGCATTTTAGAGCTTTGTTGAGACTGGATTATGAAACACAAATTTCATCAGTTAGATTTAAAAATATAAGCTGTATGGAACAAAATACAGAAAAGTGGTGCTGCCAAAAAAGAAACACCCAACAATTTTAATTAAAGGAAGATTAAAGCTGTGCCTTTCTTTGTGGCCGCTGGACATGTCAGCCAGGCATGACCACCTCTCCGGCAGGGAACAGCCAGCAGCTGCTAGGATGTGTACAGTGCTCCAAGACAAGAGGGAGACAGGAGAAGCAGGGCCACCTGCCTGATGGAGCGCTGAAATCTGTGCACCCCATTCATCAGGTGCTGGGAAAAGCCCCAGAGCCGCAGAAACGCTTCGGGCTTCTGCAGAGGGTCCCTTCCTGCTGACCCAGAAAGCTCAGTTCTACAGGCTTTGGGAGAAAGTGCTTCTCAGAAGCATCCTCAGGTTTGGAGGTCCATCGGGGCCTCTACCTGCAAACTCTACCTGCCAGGCCTGCTGAGGCCAGAGAAAAAACCAAAGCCACTCCTCTTTGCCGCCCCGAACGCCCAGGTCAGTAGTGTGTGTGGGGCAGGCAGGGTGCGGGTGGCCCGTGTCAGACTCGTCTTTCCTTCCCATGTTTCACCACTGCATGTTCCAAGATTCCCCTGCAGGCTCCTAAACCCTCTGCATTTGCTGCAGACTTACATCATCCTGGACAGCTCACCATTAAGTCGCAGAAACTTGAGGTTTTAGTGCTCAAAGAAAAACGGACAGGGGTCTAGACCAAACGAAAGGCGCAGACCCGGCCAGCCGTGCTTTTGTGGGGTCAAGGGAGGCAAATCAGAATTATGAAAAGGAAACATGCAGAATTACCTGGAGAACCTGCTGCTAACAACTCTGTTCTGCTGACAACAAAGGTACGAGACAGGGACAAAGGAACTGAAAAATGGAGAAAAATAGGGTGAGACTGTATCAAAAGGCAAGAAAGAAGATCTCTGTAATTAGGGACAGGAATGGATACTTGTTCCACCAATATGAACATTCAATTCCAGAAATGCAAACACCTGCATGACATTATGTGAACAAATAAAGCACACATCCTGCTTTCCAGGAAGAGGACTACAGAAGGCTGAAGTCGGGAGAAATCCTGTTCACATGCTTCTTTACTAATTTAGAAATCTCTTAAGCCATTAATACCCAATTGGGGTTTATAGCTCAAAACGTGCTATTCTTAAGGACTTAAATCACAAATAGCCACACAAAAGGGGAGGTCAATTAATCGAGTGCCCCTAGAGTGTGACCCCAGCCGCCTGTGCCAACACCCCACACTTTCTCCGCATAGCTGACAGCATCCCTGGAACAAGCAAGCAGTGATTCAATTAACTTACATTCTTAGTCTGACTGCAGTTGTGACCTGATGCTTTAAAATACTTTGGGATGAATTTCAAAATAGAGCAAAGTAAATAAAGACTGTCATATGCAGATCTCCCAGGCACAGCAGACCTGTCATCCTTAGCACTTTCTAGTCAGACAGGAAGCTGCAGCACCAATGGATGGAAAAGCCCATTGCACTGGATGGCAGGGCAGGAGTCGTGTTTTCTGGGCAGGTCTCGAGAACCGATTACTGTAGGATCTTGCCAGGTAACTAATATTAATAAATAGAATTATTATCTTGTGATGACTATACTATACTATAATTGCATCTCTCAATGACTGTATGAAATCCCTAAATCTAATTGTCGAGTCAAGTAAAATACTGGCCTTTGTAATAATCAAGATGCCATCAATGAAGTTCTCTTCCTTAGCACTTCAAAGTAGGTAAGGACCCCTCCCATCCAACTTCACAGATTTTTTTTATACTGAAGGCCTGCTCTTGCTTACATGAATCTGTAGTTCAATCTGAACTAGGCTGGTATTTATTTCTAATGAGGCTAATATTTAGATTTTAAGTATACCAGTAATCAGAAAATCATACCACTTACCCTCCTAGCTTTCTTTTCAAAGCCACTTTATAAATCTGGTTCTGTTAACCTGGGGCTAATGTGAGGCTGACTGCCAAACAATAGCCACAATCTCAACAGCTAATTGTACATTTCCTTTTGTACTTTAAAGGTTACAAACACTCATGTAAGTCTTAGCATTTTCTTTTCTTCTTCACAAGACGTAATCCTATATCCTTTCAGTAGTAAGGAAACCAAGGGCCTTTCTCAAAATCAGAGAAATCGTATGTGATGGAGCTGAGGTTGTAACACAGGCCTTCTCAAGACTAGCTTAGAATCTTCCAGTTTCCTTGCTCGTAGCAAAAAAAACGGATCATCTTCAAGTTTACAACAGCACACCTACTCATTAGGTGTGTTGTAAATCAGTCAGGCTAACCAGTCAGGCTCCCATTCACACTGGGTGCTGGTCAACGGTTTACTGTGGGGACAATGGCCCATGTGATTCAAAACCCTGCACTGGGATAGTAAGAAGATGCATCTGGGGTGGGGGGGAGGGAGAGAGGGAGTAGGTTTAGAATTTGGCAGAATCCTTGATGTTTCTGTCTTCCTAACTGCAGCATCCTTGGGTGCTCTGAGACAACCGTGTGGTGCGGCAGATGAATATGACACACACAGTGACTTGTGTTGAGGTATCCCCTCCCTTTTGAGACTGTTTTTCAGATGTGACAGTGTCCTTTTAGGATGGGTTATTTTTAGACCTGAGGTTTGTAAAAGAAGTTTACTCACACAGCATGTCATTTGGCATTCTGGCCACAGGGTGGCACTCCACCACCTGCTTACCTGCGAGCCCAGTTCCAGCCTGGGCACAGGCACAAGCGCACGCACCCTGTGAAGCAAGCAATGCAGAAAGGGATGGTCCTAGTGCCATCCCAGAGGTGAGCCAGTGTGCATCAGCAAACTGTTCACGTTCCTACTAGGACAGACACCACCCGCTGGCATCTTGGAACCCTGTACTCAGAGTACTTAGGCAAAAGCGCATGGCAGAGCCACCCTGAGCTGTCTGTCTCTATGGGCCAACTCTCTAGTTAAGAACAGGCCATCCCCTATATACACAGTCACATCATCATGCATCCTCAGGAAAATGCAAATTTAAAAACCTCCAAATAGTTAACACTTAAAAGACTCAGCAATGCCAATGGGTAGATGCAGCACAACCAAACCCTCATAAAGTACAGGCAGGCAGGTGAGAGGCCACAGCCACTAGGGAAAGCCATTGGGCAGCCGCCACTAGAGCAGAGCCTGGGACACTGCGGCCCAGGGTACATATATACCCACATTCACAAAAGACACACACGAACAAGACTGTTCAGTCACACTCTGCAGATAGCCCCACACTATCTGCGGTGGAAACCGCCCCAGTGTTCATCAGCAAAAGAGTGCATGTGCACTGCATATTCGCACAACACAATACTCCACAGCAACGAGAAGAAATCAAGTATAAGCGCACACAGCAATACAGACGAACGTCATGAGGATCACACTGGAAGAAGCAAACTCAACATAAAACATCCTGTACAATTGCATTTACATAAAATCCAACAATAAACAAAATGGATTATGCTTAGAATTTAAGAGGGGGTAATTTCAGGGGGACAGTGACTAAAACGGGAGTGTAGTGGTGGGGTTCAGGGGGGTTGGGACAGTCTGTCTCCAACTGGGTACTGGTTTACACAGCTATATTCAATTTGTGAAAATTCATGGAGGTATACACCTAAGATTTGTGCAGGTTTTTTTTGGTTTTTTTTGCATATATATACACTTCAACAGAGTTCAAAAGGTAAATAAGTAGCGTTACCTGGCAGGTAGAAGAAGGTTGTTATTTCCCAAGACATGGCTCTGCCCTTAGAGGCAGAGCAGGAAACTCACCTGGTGAGGCTGTGAGGGCCATTACACCATAGTAGGAAAAAGCACTGGCTTCAAACTTCATACCTTCTTTCCCAGCCTCTACTTCCACTTTCCCCTGTGGAAAGAAAAGGGGAATAATTTCAGTTCAATTACATGAATTTATCTGAAAACTCAACACACGTTGTGGTGCTTCCTCAGGCTTTTGTCTGCACTCCTTGCCCAAGAATCTCACGGAAACAGAGCCTCGGATAATCTCTCCCGCTCGGAGGAGTAGGCTAATTCCCCGTAACTATGAAAACTGGACTTGGCTGGAGATGCAGAAGATGACAGCGAAAGTGGGATGTTTAATTGCTGCGAGTTCATTTAATCTTTTCCCAACATCCTTAGTTCCCGGATTCTTCCCAGTAAGAAAGCTGATGGTTCTCTTGCCCCACCAGTGGGGCAAACCCCGAGAGGCTGTCCAGAGACAGTTGCCCAAGCTGTGCAACTGTGGACTCAGGGTCCATATGGTTTTGGGCCACAAACAGGGGACTTGTCTCACTAGCACAGTGTCCCCACCAACTGAGCAGACGCCTTGCAGGGCAGTCGCTGGTTGTCCAGAGACTCCAGCGAACTGCAACACCACAGCAGCTCCCCCCACCATCCTGGGAAAACACCTTAAAGCTGCCTCCCTTGAGGATAAAGCCTCCCGTAGGTTTTCCCTTCCCTTTCCTTTCTCCAATTTGTTACAACTTCTTCTGTTCTGTTTGTTCTTCTGTACAGACTGGTGATGGCTTAGCTCCCCTGCAGCCTCAGGAGTCCCCAGCACCCTTCACGGCAGCGCTCAGGGTGTGCTCAGGGCTGTGGAAATAGTCTCATAATCGAGTTGCACATCTTGACTTCCAAGACAAGGGTCAGAAAGGTTCATTGTTCGTATTACCTATAATTTGAATCTCCAAAGAGCAGGCACCTCTAGATGCCTTCTCTACTGTGAACAAACGAAACGGAAGCTGGAAAGGAACAGTGCTAACAACTCACAAAACTTCAGCAATTCATTTAATGCTCACAGCTCCACGACACACGATCAGCACTCCCGGGAGTCAGGAGAGTGGGGCCCAGAAAGAGTACGCAGCAAGGAACAGGCTCTTGGCCAACAGGCCACACAACGCCACCCGGGTGCACAAACCTTCATTTTGGTCACTGCCTACGGGGCTACACTAGGCGGGTTACAGAGGCCACTCATTGTCTCTCTCTGCGGTTTTCCCTCACTCAAAGAAAAGAGTGGTTTTACGACGTCCAACCAGTTCTGTTTCCTAAGAAAGGAACTTAAATCACCAGCCGTAAGAACTGCAGACAAACAGGGTTTGCAGGATCCCAACCAGGGTCCTGCAGGGGATGCGAGAAGACAGACCCAGCCCGCGAGGGCTTATGCGCCAGCAGGCAGGGGCGAGCCCAAGGAGATGACACGAGGGAGTGGGCTGAAGAGATACACGAAGAACACCCAGTAAGACAACCCGGAATGCAGAGGAAGATTATGCCTGTTCTTTATAAAGACACACTTTATGGAGGAAGGAAAAACACAAGGAGAAGTAGGTCTTGACTGAGCCAAAGAAGGGAAGGGTGTGAAGGAAGGTCCAGGGGGCAGCAGCAGCCCATCAGGCTGGCTGGGTTAGCACATGGAAGATGTGGTAGGTGGGCCTGGAGCGCCTGTGTTGAGCAGACTAGACTCCATGAAAGATGAGTGAGATCAGAGGGCTATGGCTTTAGGAACACAAAGTCTAGCGTCCATGAGTGCAGCAGTCACAGAACTGGGAAGAAATGGCTGTGAGGGAAGCTGTGGATAAGGAACCAGTGTGATCTGGGGAGACGGCAGGCGGAGTGGGTGGGAATGTTAATAATCACAGCCGAAGATGCGATCTGCGAAACGGGACATCAGAAATGGAGGAGGAGCACTACGGGAGGGGCTGGGTGGGGTGAAGGAGGGAACACATTCCTTTTGGAGGCAGATAATCCATCAAAAAGGGTCAAATGGAAGCAGGAAGGTCAAGAGAAGCAGGAGAGATGGAGAACAGAAGGAGGGAGTAAATGGAAAGTGAAAAGGCCATCCGCAGCTTGGGACAGAGTGGGAGGTCCAGAATGAACGTGGGACCAAAGGGAGAGCCAGACAAAGCAGAGCCACCAGACAACTGCATCGTCCCAGAAACTAGGGCAAGGGACGCTGGGAGAGCAACAGGCGCCAGCGAGGAGGGCTCCACTGGGCCTCAGGCGTATTCTCCACACCGCAGAGAAGGGACGAGCCAGTCATTGCGGGGAAGGAGAGCAGGAGGCAGGAGCTCTACAAGGAGAGGTGACGTGGGGTGCGGAGGGCAGCACTTCGGTGGGCCAAGGCTGTGGAAGATTAGGGACCCTGGGGTGCCCAAAGACAGTAGTGAGGGGGGAAAGGGGTGGGCAGGGATGAAAGGTGGTGATGCAGAAGCTGGCAGGAAAAAATGGGAACAAGGGTGAAGAGACTGACCTCAGAGGAGATGGGTCCCTTAAGAGAGTAGGGGACTCAATACTCAGGGGAGCAATAAAAACCCAATGCCTAATGGCATCCACCTGCTGGGTTAACTTACCCAGTCCTCAGGGACTGGCCCCTGACCTGAAAAGGGCTGTCTTTCATTGTAATCTCGAAAGTGACCACAGGACCATCTCACAACCTGAACTGGGAAGGCTCGCATGACCCGAGCCTCAGAGTGGCTTCCATCCTGAGGAGCTCTAAGTGACCCAGATCGTCAGCTTCACAGGTGATGGGGCCTTTTATGTTCTGTGTCCCCATAGGTGATGTCACTCACAATTCTTTTGTGATCACTTGTCAGAACTACAGAGCAACAGCCTCTCCCCAAACAAGAATGAACGACAGCAGCCCTCTCTGCTTCTTTCCAGAGCTGTCCTGGGCCAGCACTCACACCTGCTGCTCAGACCCTCTGCCTGGTGAACTCCAAGGCAGAGAACACAGTGGGTACTGTGCTCTGGAAACACCTGGGGATTTCTTTTAAAAACCCACTGATGGGCCTCCCCGGTGGCGCAGCGGTTGAGCGCTGGGTTGCGAAGCTGCCCGCGGCCTCTGCAGCGCCGGTTCGATCCCCGGCTGCTCCCCGGCCACCGGAGGAGGGTCCCACATGGCGCGCAGACCTCTCCTGCCGCCCGCTGCTCCCCTCAGCAGTGTACTTCGGTCCTTCTGCCTGCTCTGCTCCCCACTCTGGCTCTGGTGAATTCTCTCACCCTCCCGCGCTTCTGACTGTACCCAGTGCATGTATAAACAAACAAACAAATAAATAAAAAACTTTAAAAAAAAAAAAAAAAAAAACCCACTGAGATCTGGCTCCAACTCCCAGGCATCCTGATCTAATGAATACAGGGAGCCACCCAAGCACGGGACTTCACACAGCTCTCCCATGGTGAACGGGCAGCATCTTGGCAAGTGTGGCTTTGAGCCTGCTGATGAATAAGGGCCCCGGCACCTCTGTGCACCTGTCCTCTCAGGAAGCTTCCCCAGCGTCACAGCAGCTATGAGCCTGCTCATTCCAGGGCCAGCTTCCAAGGGGTCAAAGCTCTAGGCTGCAGCCACTCCAGGGGCTCCCTGCTCTGTCCTTCAAGATGGGTTCTCAGGCAGGGAAGGATCAGCCATTTTCCTTCTGGAGTCTACCTAGTCTGGCTTCAGCTGGCCGCGAGGCAGATACACCAGGTGACTGGTTGCTAGATGTATGGATTTCCAGAATTCATGGAAAAAAAAAAAGATAAAAATACACTCCCATCCTCAGTACTGGGAAGAGAGGACTACCAAATATTTGTTTGCTAAAATATAAATTTTTTAAAAAATACAGCTATCATACTATGACCACCATTTCATAGCCAACCAGATATTTTAACCTCCCAAGATACAGAAAATGTGTAATTTTAGAAAAACAGGTCTTTAAACTGAAAACATACAGCTTTATGAAGAACTCACCGCGACTTTTTTCCCATTTTGCAAACCAGTGAAAATTTGTCAAGTATAGCATTTAGGAACCACTGCACTCAACCAATTTTACTTCATTCATGAAACTGCAACAGATGAAAGGATCCCTCTGGCTCTTTCAGTTCTAACTCTCCCTGGTTCTATAGTTTCAAATGTTTTTCAACTAGCCAACCCTGTATTCCTTTCCATAGGATTGAAGTTTTTCCTGGTAGGTGTGTTCTAGAAGTATCCAGTAGACACTTTTTTAAAAAATTAATGTGTGCATGTCAAGGGCTCCAAAAATTGACTCTTTTCAAATAAACCTGGCCATCCATAGGTTTGGGTGTCTCTATGAGGAGATGGCTTCCCTGGTTTAAAACCAAGCAGGCATGTTAAACGACCTTCTCATAAGGGAAGGCACTATGCGTCAATTTCACTTCTGAAACACTTCTGCAATTTACTATACAGGCAAAAAGATCATGACTGGACAGACTCCCCAAGAGCGTCAGGTTGGTAAAATGACAAAGGAAAAGGCCTCACTGTCCCAGGTGAAACAGGCTCCCGAGTGGTGCCCGCATAGCATCCTACCCGTCCGTGGAAGGCACTACAAGAACTCCTCTCACAGAGCCAGCACCCACCCCCTCCTGCCTGGTCTCATGCTGCACCAGACCCAGTGGAGTCTATGCCAAGATGGAAGTCCCCACAACAGTGATCGGGTCATGACCAGATGACACCAGCTCTGGGACTGAAGGCTCCCCAGACCCTGGACACTGAGCATCTGCTTGGGCTCCTGCTTACTCTCAAATTGAAATAATATTCAGGGGGGGTTTTGAGGGGGTTCATTTTCTATTTGTTTGTTTGTTTTTTTTAATCATCATCACAAGTATTCAGCGGAGGCGACTAAATGTCAGGGGCACAAACTCCAGGTACATCCACAAGACTGCCCGGCGGTCCCAGTAAGAGGGACACACCACAAAGACGGCTGGTTTCCAGCCTCCCGTACACAGACGTGCTCTAGCAGGACTTTTTCATTTTGGAGTCTGCAAATACAGTCCTCTGCATTCTACTTCCTAAATATTTAAAAACATTTTCTGTGATAGGCAAATATTAACAATAGTCCAGTCCATCTGCTTGACCATCTTCTAACCATGTGCTGC